GAAAACAAAGCAGCTCTTTATTTCATGTGCTTAATTCTTAGTTCTTAATTCATAGTTCTTCATTTTTATTTCTTGATTTGTTATTGTATTTCGACATTTGTACACTAAAATTAACATTTGTATCTTAAAATCAATATTTGTTTTACAAATCAGGCATTTGTAAATTGTATCTTTGCTTAATTCAATTGTATTTTGATAAAATGATAAAATCATTTCATCAGAAACATACAACGAAAAACAAATTTCGAACAACTAATTTCAAATGAAACGGTCCGTTACGGCAAGTTCTTGGCGTGCGATGGACGGAACTGTGGGTAAACCACTAGAAACGTCAACGCTGGTTGATTAATCAATGTCTGACATCATAGGGTAAAAGCCGCTCGTATGACCTCTGACGCGAACCCTGCTTTGTGTACACAACAGAGTAAAAATAACCCGATCAAGCACGTGTTTTATGTAATTGGCAAGATGTCAACTTCTGCCACTCCAGTAAAAGCGATATATAATATGTGGTAGTGGGTAATATTGCAATACATTCTTTGCCATTGTAAACTGTCTAAAATTTCAATCTGTTTATCTTTCAAAACAAGATTAGATACTCCTAAATTTGTCTTCGCAAACAAAACCGCCTCTGTGAAATTATATTTCATGGGCGCCGCCATATTGAATAATTAGATGACTATTTTGTGATTCGGCTTTGATTAGTTTGACATCTTTCATACACAAAGCGGCTAAATAAACATATATATTTAATTCCATTCAGTATGGACGCTCTAGAGGCTACAGTTAATATCCGATTGACTTTAAATTTATACACAGTGTTTAAGGTCATGAGACGAAGAAGCCTATTGATTTTTAGCGATTTCCGATAATTACTGCCAGAGTTTTGGCCCTTGATCACTTCAAATAATCTTGTGGACGCTCTAGGGGCTAAAGTTAATATATGATTGACTTTAAACTTATAGTGTTTAAAGTCATGAGACGAAAAAGCCTTTTGATTTTCAGCGATTTTCGATAATTACTGCCAGAGTTATGGCCCTCTAGATGTCAAAGTTAATATCCGATTGACTTTAAATGTATACACAGAGTTTAAGGTCATGAGACGAAGAATCCTATTGATTTTTAGCTATTTCCGATAATTACTGCCGGAGTTATGGCCCTTGATCCGTTCAAAAAATCTTGTAAATGCTCTAGAGGCATGTGTACACAGTGTTTTGAGTTCATGAGATAAAGAACCATATTGATTTTCAACGATTTCCGATTATTACTGCCAAAGTTATGGCCCTTGATCACTTTGAAAAATCTTGTGACGCTCTAGAGGCTAAGGTTATCATCCGATTGACTTCAGATTGATACACAGAGTTTAAGGTCTTGAGACGAACAAGTATATTGATTTTCAATGAATTTTGATAACTTGAACAGCTAAATCCATGATATTAAATGTTTCGTACACTAAACGTTAGCATGGGGCAGAACTTTATAAAAACCAAACAAAATCTAATGGTTTTCTGATAATTACTTAATAAGTTGTTATTCGTAATCAGATTTTAATGTATTATAAATGTTTCATTACCGAAAAAAGTAAAAATATGCGACAACTCTTGTTGACTGCCCGAACGATTTAGCTGCTATGGGCGTATGTTTCGTTGACTGACAACCTATCGTTGATGGATGTTTTTAAATATTCAGTGTTTGATGGAGTTACCCCATAGGAAGTTATTAACAATAAAATCAAATCTGGTTTGAAGCTTTTGGGTCATACAGGGCGAACCATATCGATATCAAGCCTTCTGTGACTTTCCGTGTTAGAGGTACCCCCGTTCCTCGTTTGTAAACGCAATAGAGGCTACAGTTTTTGATGGATGTTTTTCAAATATTCAGTGTTTATGGAGTAACCGCCCTTTGGCGAAAACCTTTTCAACACGGTACAGGCTGTAGTTTTTAACGGATGTTTGGAAGCATTGGTGTCATGATTGGATGAACCCTATTGATTTTCCGCTTTCCGCATCGTTTTCATGAGAGGAGAAACACTATCACTATTCAGTGTTGTGCAACTTTTCGTTCAGGAGTTATCTACCTTTGTCGAAAATATTGTCAGGCTATACTTTTAAATGTATTTTTGTAAAATTTCGTGGTAAGCATTGGGGTTATAAGTGGATGAACCCCATCGATATTCAAGTCTTTTAAATTCGGTGGACAATATCGGGGTCATTAGAAAATCATCCCTATCGATCCGCTGCCCCCGCCCCACCACCACCTTGCCGAAAACCTTTCAAAGTTGGTAGGAAGCACTGGGGATATGCGTTCCGCGACTTTTCGTTCAGGGGTTATCCCCCTTTGTCGAAAACCTTGTGGCCGTGATATTCGGTGTTCTTCGACTTCTCGTTCCGGAGTTGTCACCCCTTTTCAAAAACCTTGTGAAACCTTGAGGCTATAATTTTTAACGGAGTTCTTTCAAATTGGGTGGGAAGCATTGGGGTCACGAGAAAATGAAAGCGATCAATATTAAGCGTTCTGCAACTTTCCGTTCCGGAGTCGTGGGAGTCAGTAAATTTGCACAACATTTGCTATATTTTATTTACATTAAATTCTGAATAAATACTCAATATGTGCTTACCATTTTAATAATAAATAATAGATTTATTTATTTCATTTTATTTATTTATTTGTTTTGTTTTGTTTTGTTTGTTTTGTTTTTTTTTGTTTTATTTTATTTTATTTTATTATTTTTTTTATTTTAACGTCCTACTTTCTGCACAAATCGGATAATAATGACAGACATGCGCCATGCAGTGTGTTACAAGGGTTCTTTTACTAAATTAGCTTTAAGCATTTCAAAATATTTGATTAGATCATGATACCAACATCTAGTGAAATAGTAATGGATATTCTCAGTACATGTACATTTTAATATCTCGAGCGTCACGTAAATTTCATATTGTAACTGGATATGAGCCTTAAAATACTAAATAGCCGGATGAATTTATTTCATGGAAAGGTTAGAAGAAGAAAATTTAGGGGAAGTACCGGTAAAATCCTTAGCTACCTATAGTTTCGATGTCATAAAAGAGGTGCTTATACAAATAAACAATGTTATAATTGGATATTTATTATGGCGTTAGCATAGAGAATATAGATGACCAATATTAAAAACATGCGTAAAAGACCCACAAGACGCAGTTTTCTAAAGCGGGCTAAAATATAAGGTATAATATATATGATCAGAAAGTACACATTTGATAAAATTCAACGCCTTTGTAAGACTGTTATACATGTATTCTATGTCGAAAGATTAAATGAAATGAAATGAAATGAAATGAAATGGGGTTTAACGTCCTACTGTCGAAAGATTCAAGATTATGTTTAAGGCAAACGTTGAAAAAATAACACATCGTTTTAATGTTTTTGTATCCCATTTTTAATGCATTTAACGTATGTACATAACAGATAGTATTTAAACCAAATAATTGAATCAAATGAAATATATGTTACAGCTTTATTATTTTATATTTTAACAATTGTTATTATACCTTTAGTTGTTTTTATTTTATGTGCCCTTCTTCATTATATCGACTGGTGCCGTAAAGTAGGTCGTTAAATCCCATTTCAATTATTTATTTATATATGAATTAGTTATTATAGCTTTTCCCGGATAAGGGAAAACGTATAGTTGCACGTACAAGAATCGTTGACAGTTTGAATTCGATATGAGTAGACCGTAGCGCCGCTGTACGGGCAAAATTTTCTGCATAGCACACTGCATGGGCATGTCTAAATCGGAGCAGAACTGTATGGAAGGGTATCGCTGCCAATATTAAATGTTCTGCGACAATGTCGTTTCCATTGATTATATGTAAAATGTACAAGGTACAAAATCCTAATACCGATATTGATAAGGTCAAAATACCTCTAAGGCAAGAGTTTAATGTAAAACGTCAAATGTTAAGTGTAAAATGACAAATGTTTTGTGGGAAAATGCTTTTTTTGACGTTTTTACATTTCTCTCATTAGATTTTACATTTGTGCTCTGCCACATACCATTTGATTTGTCCTTCACACTTTCTACATAGCAACTTTCCACAGCATCAACTTCATATGGAAATGTAGTATATCACGTGACTTATTAACATAAACGGAAACCCGGCACACTAGATGGTCATTTTCATATGCAAATGTTTGATATCACATGACTTATTAACATATACGGAAAACCCGGCACACTGTAGATGGTCCGAACATTGACCTGAAAGTGAAGTGAGCAGTGTGGCCAGCGTCGAGTCTTCCAAGCGGCTGGTTCCTCTGAGCTGACGTGAGTCGTGGCATGCTGCTGACGTTGTAGTGTGAATGATTAAACCGGTCCCGGTGAACAGCAAGTGCAGCATGGAGAACACATTACCATCTCAGAAGTCAGGTTGCGTTTTTGAGAACGTTTCCTGGGTTCAATTCTGTGTTTGGGAAGGAGCCTTATTGCTCAAGTAAAGTTGGAGATGTGTTCACAAATATACAATAAAAACATTTGAGAAGTTTTATGCAATGCGTCTATTTAGAGTAACATACCAACCTGGCGTTTCTTTTGCTGCTTAGTATATTTATATTTTTACTGGTTTTTATTTATTTGTTACTGGTTTTTATTTATTCATATTTTACTGGTTTTTATTTATTCGTATATTGGCTAATTGTTATATCTTTACTGATTTTCATATGTTTGGGCTAATATATAATCTTTACTGATTTTTATTTATCTATGTATGAGCTAATTGTCGTAGTTTTACTGGTTTTTATTTATCTATTTATCAGCTATTTGTTATTTACTTGTTTTTATTTTTAAAAAATACAGATTTAAAGCAAATGAACCTCTATAGATTTATAATGGATTGTTTAGAAATGTCAGATCATGGTTACGCCCAAATAACAATTGTGTTTGCCTCCCTGGACATAAAACTTATTCAACATAAAACAGGTTATTTCTTATGTTAAAGTATGCATGATTTGTTTTTCAGAAATGGAGAATGATAGTGAAATAGATTGCGGCGAAGTTACCCTTGTCAAAAGTCCAATCAATGGATTGTGTGAAATTGAAAAGCATTGGTTTGACGACACGAAGTGCCAGAAGACTTCAGGAGGATCATCTTTGGGAGAATCATCTCTGAGTAGCTCCAATGGATCAAATTGTGACCATCTGCTACATGACGCTTTATTATCATCAACATCTGACTGCGACGACGATAGTCTCTTTGGATACGGGTCACCCACAAAATGTAAAACACGTATTAACAATGGTCAAAACACTTGTGGTGTACGTGACATTCCTGGAGTTATATTGGTAAGCGATATCAATAAAGATTTTACTATGGACGGTAGAGAAGGAAGTATTATCGAGCCAATGAAAACACTAATGAATGATTTTTCCAGTCTCAGCTTAAAGCGAAATGTGATAACCAAGGATGGCTCTGATCAAGTACGTGATGTCAATAAAGATTCCACGATAGAAGTTAACGAAGTAAGTAATTGCCAGTCAATGAAAACACTAAGGAAGGAGTTTGCCGGTCTCGGTCTGCAGCAAAATGTGATAACCAAGCAAAATGAGTCGTCAGAATATAACGACGGCTCAGATCAAGTAGAGACAACCTTAGTAATGAACGAAAAGCCATCAACTCCCGATGAAGAGACTGTCTTTTTGTGCAGAAAATTAAAGGAAGAACTTGATTTAACCAATGAGGTACATACTTTTTTTTTGCATTACAGTTATTTCTTTCTCAGATTTGCGTGGTTAGGAAGTATGTGTAATTTTCAAATTATACTTTAAATAGATTAAAATGGCACTGTCCTGTAGTTAAATTTTTAAAACCAGTTTACATGTGTTACGATATATGTAATGAGTGTCTCCTTAACACAGTATTTCCGTAATATTTTTATTTTTTTGTATTTTAGACAAGAGGGCCTCATCCGATTAATCCCTATCCTAAAACAGGACACCATCAGTCGTCTACAAACGTCAACCTGCGAACTATCAGAGGACGTAACGCACATCTTCCTAATCAATATAACTATAACACTCAACTAGAAACAGACGATGTAGCAACCCGGAATATTCTTGTTAATCACACGAACAGTACTGAATCAATTCACACGCGCCCGTCCTGTCTCCGCGGACCCCCAGACAATGCAATAGCAATCGTGTTTCCTGCCCTTGAAACAGTAGATAAATTTATGCAGGAATATCCTACAAGTGATAATTCATCTAGGTCTGTTGGTGTTACTTTACCGAAAAATCCCCAAGGAATTCCTCCTCTCCCTTCCATTCATTCATTTTTTCCGACAGATATAGACCACCGCCAGTTCACATATAATGGTAGTGGTCTGTCAGCAGGCTGTGGATTCTCTAACCAAAGCATATCACATCCAACAAAATTGATGTCTAACGAACATACGCCATATTTAACAAGTGTTCAAAGCCCTCCCATTTGTTCAGATATTGGGTTCAACACATTTACTAATTCGTCCAATTGCGCGGTAATGCATAACATGACAAATTATGCTTATTGTAATCCAACCATGCTTACTAATAACAGAAATGAACAACGACAAATGAAAATTGATTTCCGGGTTTCTCACACAGATTCTCCTGTTAACCAGAAAGGGTCTAGAAATGTCAGTGTCCAATCAACTACTTATTACACTCCCAGAAATCACGAACATCCAATGGGCAATATACCTAATATGATGCCGGGAAGAACTCGAAGTGGATCAACAAGTTCCCAAAGCTCTTCTTCAACATATCAAAGTTCAATCCGTTCTCCTGGGTATCCATCTGACCCATCAACTGCAGAAATGTCACCGCCTTCCATAGCATCAAGTCATGGTTCGCCTGGTCCTTTCTGTGATTTCGATCCAAATTCGCCCCCTTCTCTTTACAATCCACATAACCCCAATTTGGCCGACTCCCCAGTTAAAACAAGAACGTTACCACTGATAAACAGTATCCCAGTTCCTGCACGTTTTAGGCACATTCCTACGCAAAACAACTGTGCAGAAAATACAGTCGTCGAAGACGAACCGGATAGTATAGTTGTTGAAGACGAATCTGATACTGAAAGTGAACCAGATTATGGCAACAAGTAGGTTAAATGCTTACTATACGAATTCTAAAGGCATAGGAAATCCTCTCAGTTACGCGTAGTCAATTTTAAAATCTTTTTAAAACTTAAATGTATGTTTCTGTTTTTAACACAAAACAGGAACACAAATAATATGGGTTAACTTTCTGACAATGTCTAATCTAGAAAGATACAACATACCATGACAGAAGATGAAGCGGCATCTAGCGAAGTTAGAATATAACACATTTGTGGGAAATGTTTCTACATTTAATAGGCCCATATTGTGGTCGTTTATTCTCATCGTGTTGACCCATTCACCAAATACAAGAAATGAGTTATCCATGAACCTTTTCAATCGTTTTGAGAATCAAAGTATTTCGCAATTATGATAGTTATCGCCTTTGCCATGAACAACTATTAAACGCGTCAGAAAGAAAGTAGGTTAGTCAATTAATTTTTATAAATACCTTTTATGCATATTTTGTAGTCCTCTCCATGACTTATCTCACATCACAGATCCAGTAGAACGAAACAGTATCATCAATAAGCAAAAATGCTGTCCAGATTTTAGAAAAAATATCGACGCGCTCAACAAATTGAATCAGGTATTGTGCTCTCACAATGTAATAACTCTTAAAGGGACAATATCACTCTTGCTGGCTTGAAAGCTCCAGAAAATAAATAATATCTCTATCTAAGTACTAGATGTTTAAGTGTCCTACTCGTTGTGTAAATTATCCATTACATCCTATTTTACTTGTCCACAGGGTTCAAAAATATTTTTAAATCGAAGTTTCATTTGAAAAGGTTTACGTTAGACGTTTCACACCATATGTTGAATTTTTCTAAATTTTTAAATAAGGTGTGTAAAGATGAAATTTGTATCATTAATTAATTGAAATATTCTAAAATAGTACAATTTGTTGACCAGAATAAAGATTGGGACATATTATTCAGTTACAACAAGAGTGGTATTGAGCCTTTAACAATGACGATAGTGGGTATGTTATAATATACATGTACATAAGATAGTAGAGTGCTAAAACTGAATAATCCTTAGAGAAAATATTATTAATTTATGTTTGTGGACAAAGACCATTACAACGAATGTCTCAAAATTATTGCCCAAGGTGCCATACATTAATCCATATTTCAATACAAATCGAAAACTGTTTGGTTCCTAGTTTTGATTATTTTACTTTAATTTCTACACATATCATTTAAATATTAATTATAGCTGTGCCAGTAACGATAGATTAATTTCTCCATATTTTATATTTTAGACACCCCTTTACCTTGCTGTTAAGTGCCAGAATAAGGACGTTTGTGATTATTTATTGACGAAACAAGCAAACCCAACTATATTATGCTTTAGAAGGGACACGGTGAGTCTGGATTTATTTATCACCATCTCCATTGGCCTAGTTGATGAATTATACTTTAGCGTATTTTTTGAAACTTTGATAGTGTAATAATTCTAAAAAGAGTTGTGGCGGTAGTTCGTAATTGAACTCAATTCGTGACTATCAGTATAAATGTCATTTGGAATGCCTGATACTACTCCCTATACCCTATACATGGTCTGGATAAGTTAATTAATGTCTAATTAATAATTTAGATAACATTTCAGGTCTAAAGAAAGACCTGTAATAGACAGATTTAGCTCTTGATTAATGTATGTTTAATGATTGTTTGGAAAGTATAATAAGACTTCATAGTTGTTTGAAATGTATAAAACTTAATGGTTGTTTGAAATGTATATGATTTGAAATGTATAAGATTTGAAATGTATAGGATTTGAAATGTATAAGCTTTAATGGTTGCTTGAAATGTGCAAGACATGATGTTGATGACTGTGACGTTTTATACGCCCACATTTTTATGTGGACGTATATTGTCGTCGCCCCTGTCCGTCCACAATTGTTTGTGGACACTCTACATGTCACAATTTTTATCCGATATCAACGAAACTTGAAATATAGGTTTATCTCCACAAGATCTCAGTTCCTTTCGATTTTTGCATGCATCGGACCGTAGATTGATGGATTATGGTCCCTGATTGTACAAACAATCGCGTTTTTAACTTGAAATGTGATCGTATATTGTGCCCCCCCCCCCCGTCCGTCGCTTGTGGGCGCTCTAGAAGCTAAAGTTAATATCCGATTGACTTTAAATTTATACACAGTGTTTAAAGTCATGAGACGAAGAGGCCTATTGATTTTCAGCGATTTCTGATAACTACTGCCAGTGTATTATAAATGTTTCATTACCGAAAAAAGTATAAATATACGATTTAGCTGCTGTGGGCGTATGTTTCGATGCCTGGCAACCTATCTTTATATGATTTTGTTGAAATTTGAAATTAAGTTTATAACCAAAGGATTTTGGTTGCTTTCGATATTCGCGCATATCGGACCGTAACTTCCTGAATTATGGCCCCTGATTGTACGAAAAATCACGTTTTTTTAGCTTGTGGACCCTATGGAGGTCACAATTTTATTCCGATGTTTTAAAAAAAACCGTTTGAATATATCACCGCTACACCTTAATGACGGTTGAGTTCGAATTTCGCGAAAATCGGACCAAAACTGCCGGAAAAAATGGCCGTCCCTCGAACGCAAACAGTGTAAAAATATTGTATATCAAGGTCGTGGACCCTCTAGAGCTCACAATGTTGATCCGATTTTGATTAAACTTTAAATACATGTTTATAACCCAAAGATTTTGGTTGCTTTCGATATTTGCGCATATCAGATCGTAACTTCCTGAATTATGTCCCCTGATTGTACGAAAAATCGCGTTTTTAGCTTGTGGTCCCTCTAGTGGTCACAGTTATTATCTGATTTACAAAAACGTTCAAATATATCACCGTTACACAGTAATGTTGGTTGAGTTCGGAGTTCGGACCAAAACTGCCAGACAAAATGGCCACCCCTCTACGCAAATAGTGTAAACATCTGGTATATCAAGGTTGTGGACCCTATAGAGGTCACAATTTTGATTCGATTGTAATGAAACTTGAAATGCATGTTTATAACCCAAAGATCTTGATTCCTATTGATATTCGCTCATATCTGATCGTACCTTCCTGAATGATGGCCCTTGATGTTACGAAAAATCGCTTTTTGTTTAGCTTGTTCTCTATCCATCTCTTGAAAAATGTGGGCGTATCCTGCCCTGCCTGGGAGCGGCTGGTTGTTATTTTTCAAGACTTACTGGTTGTTTAAAATGTATTAGGTTTAATGGTTGTTTGAAATGTATAACGCTGAGTTTCGAACCCTGGATGTATATTTTTCCGTTTCCGCCCTTCCCCCCCCCCCCCCACAATATATATTTCACGGCTACGTTGCGACGGTACCAGCATACCCAGTTGTTGACACCCATTACATCACTCCTGTCTAACAAATCATAAAGCTGTGGTGTTACGGTGGCGGCATAGTATTTCACCGTAACACCACAGCCACTCTAACCATTCATAATACATCTAACTATCCCTTTACAGCACTTCACTCCCTACACATTTCCCCTCGTCCTACTTTCCCAAACGTCAACAACACATCTCATACATCCAGTTCGCTGATTAACCCTTGTACCACGTCTACTGGATGACCTGGCGCCTGGTACGTTCGGGCATTTTTATGCGCGAACTCTTAGGGTTTTTTTTACTCTGTTTTTGCGACCAATTATGTGAGAAATACCATACTGACATTCGGTTTTTAAAAGTTGTACGCGAACTAAATGCGTTTGTTAGATACTGACAGAGCAGCCCCGAGTCGAACAATCGCCGCCCGAGCTGTCTTCGTCAGCTAGTTTCACAATATCGTGCAATAGGTGTATTAATGTGATTTTTAGGTTTAACCCCGCAAACAATGCCAAAATAGTGTTTTCACTGCTTACAGAAAACTGAAATTTAAAAAAAAAAATTTTTATGAGGGTGACCCTCCCACACACTCCCTATCGAGCTGCCGCTCGGTCTGCGCAGCCTCATGCCTGGCACATACTGTCAACATTGTATATTTTTCCGTTTCCGCCCTTTCCCCCCACAATATATATTTCACGGCTACGTTGCGACGGTACCAGCATACCCAGTTGTTGACACCCATTACATCACTCCTGTCTAACAAATCATAAAGCTGTGGTGTTACGGTGGCGGCATAGTATTTCACCGTAACACCACAGCCACTCTAACCATTCATAATACATCTAACTATCCCTTTACAGCACTTCACTCCCTACACATTTCCCCTCGTCCTACTTTCCCAAACGTCAACAACACATCTCATACATCCAGTTCGCTGATTAACCCTTGTACCACGTCTACTGGATATTCCAGTTAAGAATCTAGTGACCTAAACGCTCGACTACCACGACCCCTGTTTAAGGCAAAATAACTGTTTGGAATGCATAAGTCTATTATAGAATTATTTATTTTTCTAGAGAAAAATAGAACGTAGTTTCCACGAGAATGCTCTCCATTTGGCTAGTGAAAAGGGATATTATGAGATTGTAGAAATGCTCTTGAAATATTACCAAGGACCAAATTTCATAGACAGTAGAAGAAAGGGAGATGGTATGTTGTATGTTTTAATAGTATTACTTCCATGAGATCGTTTTGTTTTATGAAAACCACAATATTTGTATTACTTCCGATGACCTGACATGATTCCTTATTTGAGATACGAAATGAAACTTCTGATAAAAAAGTTTTAACAACTATTTTGATTTTCCAGTATATTTGACTCCGCGAAGACCGAAGGTCTAAACTAACTAAACTTAACAGAAATGCGTGAAATTTGCTGTTCGTGATTACTATTGTGTCTGATGTTAATATAATATCTTTCTTAAAATTGATATCATGATGTATAAACATCACGAATATCTTCTAAACTAACTGCATATGTCACATATCAATTTTAAATTTATGCTAGTTTGTTTTGATTTTTATAAGCCCACATTTTCACGTTGACGTATTTTGTCGTCACCCTGTCCGTCCTTCCGCCCGCAATGTAAAATTGCCCTTCTACAAGATACGTCTGAAATTACTGGAATTTAAAGAAGAATAAGAAAAGTAATTATTGAATTAGACCATATTGTCAACTTTTTTTCAATTCCGTTTGAATCAGTCTATTTCAATTTCATTTGAACCTGTCTTTTTTCAGGCATGACACCATTACTTTTGGCGATAGCTGAACACAGTTCAACACGAAGAAACCATAGCAATATAATCCGAATCCTTGTTGAATACGGCGCCAATTTATCCATCAAAGTATGTCCCATATATATTTTATCATAACTCAACGAAACTGGATAATTATATGTGGATTACTCGTAGAAACATTTACCCTGACCATGTCTAACTATCTGGGGGTCTATGGGTTTAACGCGTACACTTTAGATCAAAGGGTCGGTCATTGATTCAAGTGGAGTGGTTCCGATCTAAAGATTGTACGTCACAGGGAGTAAGGTCGCTTTTCAAATCTCGTTTGAATCTCCGTTTGCCCCCACTGGACAAGGAGTAGGGTCGCCTGTCCAACCTCGTGGGTTTTCTCCAGTTCCTCCGTTTTCCTCCCACTGCTAAAGACCCCAACGTGCAAGCGAATTAATGAAATAAAAATTAAACCATGTCAGTCCCGACTGGGCGGTTCGATGGCCGAATGGTTAGCGCGTGGGCGCTGTATCATAAGGTCTGCCATTGAGTCAACTGGCGTGGTTTCGATTCCCTGGTTGTACGTGTCAGGGAGTAGAGTCGCCTGTCCATGTCAATCTTTTGTTTAAAAAATTAAGTTGATGGATGTTGAATACATGATTTTTATTTTATTTAGAGGATTCACCCACCTCTCTCTCTCTCTCTCTCCCCTACTGATAAAGACTAATACGCACAAGCGAATTATTGAACAAAGTTTTAGTCCCGAAATGATCAGTTTGTGTCGAATTAACATTTAAAGCCTTGTTGGTTTGCTTTTAGGATAATAAAACCGGCAGTTTACCTTTAATGTTGGCAACAAAGAAACACGAACTAAAGCTTGTCCTCGAGTTGTTGGATGACCTAGATGCAGGGAAACGACGGGAGCAAGTTCTCGAAAAAGATCGCAGTGGTAATACCTATCTTCACATGGCGGCTCAAATTACTAACCACAATACCACAGAAGATTTAGCTAGCGTCTCAGATAGTGATATACAGGATTTTTGTATGAGAATCGTACAGTATGGAGGCGATGTTGAAGCTAAAAATTGTGAAGGGTTGATGCCAAAAGATTTACGTCATAATCTGGTAAGATGAGTATAATGCGTGTATCAGACAAAGAGCTGTTGGGGTTTTTTTTCTAGAATGTAATTAACCAATTTAATTCATTTCATGGGGTATTAAATGAATAAAGAAGATCAAGAATATATTTACTTTCAGAATCTTAAGCGAAAGTACTAGGTCGATTACAGGAGTAATGTCAGATATATTGCACTGAATAAAACTGTGCAATCATGTGCGAACGGCTCATTTAATTTGAAGCTCCAAGATAAGTTTTCACAGAAATATCAATGTCCATATAGCTCAATATTTGACGCTGAAAGGTATGGGCAAGGTGAACGGCATATTCCTGAGGCAATGGCCGGAGAAATCCAACTCTGGTCATTGCTGGATTGGCTTCTGATACTTGAGCTTTTATGGGAATGTGTCTATTCTTCCCGTTCAATCAAATCTATCCCAAGTACAGCAACATGACAGCCCTTCGTTTAATCTGGGGTCTTCCCTAAAACTTTGGACAGTGATTAAAACGGTGAAAGTATTGTTATTCTCCAAACAGTATTGTTTGTATCCGGCATATTCCTGAGGCAATGGCCGGAGAAATCCCTCTCTGGTCATTGCTGGATTGGCTTCTGATACTTGAGCTTTTGAGGGAATGTGTCTATTCTTCCCGTTCAATCAAATCTATCCCAAGTACAGCAACATGACAGCCCTTCGTTTAATCTGGGGTCTTCCCTAAATCTTTGGACAGTGATTAAAACTGTGAAAGTATTGTTATTCTCCAAACAGTATTGTTTGTATCCGGTTTGATAGCATTGTTTGTCACACAGTTAGTTTTTCTGCAATATTCTGCAATGCACTGGTTAAATGGGCGTAATAAAATCGTGAGTCATGACGTAACGTAATTTAAACATATTTGGTCCAATTTGGAGCTCTGTTTAAAGCGTAATGATATTGTTACGCAGTTAGCTATTTGAAACAGAAATTTGCTTCCATTACAGCAGTGTTAAGTGGGATTAGCTCTAATCAAATGAAAAACTGCGAGGAGTATGGGTAAACGGACTCTTTGTAATTTGATTTCTATGATTGAAGGAAAACTGGGACTCCGACTTTAAATTTGGTTTCTTACCCTGCATAAACATTACTTTCAATAAACCAAAGACGGTTAAACGACATTTTGATTTTGTTTTTCAGATGAGACAGATAAGATGAATATAGAGTTAACATATTTTGATACCAACAGCCCCAGGCAAAACGTTTGACAAAATTTTGAAATTTGTATTCATTCATTTTTGATCCCATCTAGCTATCAGATTTTTAGTCTGCTGTCAATGAAACCGATGCGGGCTATAGATTTCAACTCTGTTGGTCTGGCAATCTGTCCGAAACCGTTTTTCGGGCCTTTTCCGCAATGAATCAGTGAATGCAGACGCAGTTCAAGTTTCGTCACAACTGGCATACTTTTACAGGTATTAAGACCATTCGACTTTCGCTTATGCTTCAAGATGTGTAACTTAAATTAATTGTGCAGGGTGCATCTTATTGTATTCAATCAATCATATACTTGTTAGATAAACCAACGTTCAAAATGACTTTAGGAAGACCGGAAGGAAAAACTAAAAATGTTTGTTATAGTGTGGATACTTCGACGTCTGTTCCACTATCATCCTACACATTAAAATTATCGGGTTGATTTTAATACGTTGTCTTGAACACCTGAGTCCGAAATTAACATCGTGTACTTTACAACAATTGAATTAGTAGATATCTTATAATTAGCCATGTTTTTTATCCTTATAGTACTGGAGCTTCAGATAAATCGACTCTCTCGAAGATTTAAATTATAACTATAAAAGAACTGAACATTTTAGGTCAAATGGAAGGATTGATTTGTGATGAATCGGTCTGTTATTTCGATTAAATTTTTGTTTCGGAATATTTCATTTACCATTCTATTTTCTAATTTGGTTAAAATTGTCGATATAGCGGAACACTAATTCAACTATATCTCAGCACTGGCTTTATACCTAAAGCAAATCAGAACATCTAACTTAATTAAATCAATAAAACACCTAATAAAAGTGATCTAGTTTTTAAACGTTGCAGTATTTATTATATTTTGAATAGATGAGCACCAGTGTTACCGTATAACGTGTGTGTCCGCCATGTCGTTTATAAAACTATGTTAACATATCTCCATATATTATCTAGGTTCAGGTGTCCCACTTACTCTTCAAGCCACGGGGGGGGGGGGCCGAATGGTTAGCACGTGCGTGCTGTATCACACGGCCTGTCATTGAGTCAACTGGCGTGGTTTCGAATCCCCGGTTGTACGTGACAAGGAGTAGGGTCGCCTGTTCAACCTCGCGGGTTTTCTCCGGGTTCTCCGGTTTCCTCCCACTGCTAAAGACCCCTACGCGCAAGCGAAGTCTTGAAATAAAATTAAGAAACCATATGTTAGTCCCGAAATGACCTAGTTTGTGTCGAATGGACGTTAAACCCCATCTCTCTCTCTCTCTCTCTCTCTCTCTCTCTCTCTCTCTCTCTCTCTTCCAGTCACGGGCATTTGAATGTATGAATTTGTCTATGTTTTATTGTGCAGTTTTCTGTCAAGATTCTGTGGTGGTTAAAAATAAATAGCAGGACAAATTCCACCAACCACATGACGAATAAGTTGTTTAATAATGTACATATTTAGAATCAGAATAATATACCTGGTTGTTATCAATGTATTGTAAATTAAGTAATTATAATAACACAACCTATAAATATGGATTTATTACACTTGTTAGTGCGTAGTAATAAATTACCTCATCTTTCTAAATGTGTTCATTTACTTTTGGAATGGGATAGTGCATAAGTGATTAAACGTGATCCAGGTGATACTTTTGGAATGGGATAGTGCATAAGTGGTTAAACGTGATCCAGGTGATTTCTAAAATAGAAATTTCAACAACCCTTTGAATTTCGGAAGTGACGCAAAAAAAGTAAATAAGACGGTTTTAGCCACGTGTGTGTGTGTGTGTGTGAGAGAGAGAGAGAGGGGGAGAGAGAGAGATGGGGTTTAACGTCCACTCGACACAAACTAGGTCATTCGGGACTAACTTATAGTTCAAATTTATTTCAATAGTTCGCTTGCGCGTAGAGGTCTTTAGCAGTGGGAGGAAACCGAAAGACCTGGAGAAAACCCACGAGGTTAGTTTTAGCTCATTGATAATTCCTGTGGTGTTTTTATATGCCAGGATATCATTTCGAAACAGTCAAATTTATTTCCACGGAATCACGAAAATAGTTCTACAATGATAGGCTAGTGTCTGTCTTGGGAGAGGGTGGGGGCGGATAAACGACCGAGGCTCGTTTCTATGTACCTCCACATCGTCATCTCTCCAAAGTTGGAGAGGAAGAAGCCACTCCTCCTTAGCCTAAATTGCACCTCGATTATTTGTCATAGCACCAGTTTCATAAATACACGATTTCCCGCGATAAGACGGAAGTAGAAGTGAACATGCGCACAAAGTTATCGTTTCCCGTTAACCGTTGATCTGAGTCAAGCGTGCCACACTCAAATCGTGACTGCGAATAACCCGATTCAGAATAATTGTTTCGGGTGGAATTCGGAAAAATATACGGATTCGTTAATTCAGATTCAGTTCGGTTTTTAGCGAATTGAGTGTGACGTCGAAATCCGGAATAAGACTTTATTCTTAACTCAATTCAGATTAAAGCCCCAGCGTGAACGCAGCTTTTAGATTGTTAATGCGATTTTATTCATTCGATCACAATGTCTTTAATTCAGATTCAGTTAGGTTTTTAGCGAATTGTGTGTGACGTCGAAATGCGGAATAAGACTTTATTCCTAATTCAATTCAGATTAAACGCAGCTTTTAGATTGTTAATGCGATTTTATTCATTCGATCACAATGGCGTGCTTTCAAAATTTCACGTGGCGATAACTCGCGTAGTAATAATCACATACAATGGGCTAGCAAACCTATAAGGAAGTGTGAACAAGGAGCGTTGGATTGCGGAACATGGGGTTGTCAGACAACGTGTCGTATGAGCTAAACGTCAGCTTTGTGGAGGATGGTAAGTTTCTTTTTTTTTAAAATTTTGAAAATTGACAACCGCAAACCCATTTTCCTAGCATTTCAGACCAAAGCAGAAGAAGGCAAATTTTTGATTTCCTGATACAATTAGATAACAGAATGACCTAAGAGCTTATGAAGAACTAAGTAGAGGTTAAAAGATGAATTACACGGTTCTCGGTATAATGAGGTCAAACTCATAAAGTTCTTTCCTTGTAGTACACTTCTTTTTTTGTGTTGTCAGTCATTTTCTTTCTCCTGCCCTGTGCCCTGTCCTCTCCTCCCTTCTTTCTTTTCTTTCCTCCCCCTCTTCTTTCTTTCTCTTTTTTCTTTTTTTTTCTCTTTTTTCTTTTTTCTGTACAGGCTTAGGCCCACTTTTTTTAATGAGCTTAGGCCCACCTGTCACGGACATTATATTACTTATGGAATTGGCATCAAAGCGTGACAACCAAAAGGCATTGAGCAACAGGGTAAAACATAGCCACTAAAACCAGCAAAATCTTTAAAAAGTCTACGAAAGGTTTGCGGGGACAGTGACAAGCCAACGTATCAAATTTCCATATCTATTCAGGGCCGTAACTAGCTCAGAGCAACGAGGGGGTGGGAATTTTTTATGGTCGAAAATTTGTTCACGGGGGGGGGGGGGGCAGGGGGCGAAACTTTGCAGGAGGGGCAAAGCCCCCCCCCCCCTAGTTACGGGCCTGTATCATATTGATCCGAGTGACAGACAGAATGTTATATTACATCCCATTTACCTACAAATCAAATAATGAAGATCACTAAAAATTAAGAAAAAGACAATCACTGAGTTGTTAAATATTAATGGACCAACAACCGACAGAATAAACTGTCACTTGCGACAATAAAATTCATAGATAAAGCCAGTCCTTTTTATATTAAATAGTTTATTCTTAATAGGACATTTTAATTTTAAAGTTAAATTATGAGACACCTATTTAGTATTTTGGGACGAATTACTGACACATTTACTGTTCTACGCAAATCGCTTTACATCCAAACAAAATTTCAGATTACGATATCTTTATACGGTGACTGATTTAGGACACACACAAAAAATAATATCTCGAGCGCTCGCGAGATACTAAGTCGAGCGCTTGAGATACAAGTCGAGCGCACGAGATAATATACCCGAACACGACTCAACCGATGGTTTAAGCTTTACAATTTTGTGCATTATTTAATGATAAACTTGCAGAATAAAGATATTCATTTGTTCGTTTCTTACAGCCCATCCAAAGCTGCAGTAACCGCGATATATACAACTATTGATTAGTATAATGACATGCGATATACTCCCCACTTGGAAGGGGGTAAATACAACGGGAAATATTTAGTGGTGGTGATGAGCATGGGATGGAGGGTGTGCATGTGAGTGTGCGTGGGGGGGGGGGGTAACTGCTCTTTATTATTGGAACACAGTCTGTTTCTGGGAACATCAAAAAAAAAAAAACACTTTACGATCTTAATACTGTCGATCAAGATAACGTAGGCTTGCTTCTTAAATGGAGTTGTCTCCCCTTTATCACTTAATGATATTGGTCAAATAATATGACACAATAATCTGGAGTGGAGTGAACAATGTTTATTAATGGAGTTGTTTTCTTTTCATTGGATAAATCGTGAATTGTATAGAAGGTTATGGCAGACAATACGAAACCTACACGGTTACAAACTTCCACTACCTGGGCAATATCCAATTTCAAACTATGTGCCACCACAATCTTCTTTGTTGTCAACGCCACCTACACCAACGATTATAGTCTGAACATTTCTGCACCCTTTCACTCAAGCCCAAGGAGGGGAAATCATCATTAACCCATCACAAAGAGGCAGAGCGGTTTTGTAAATTTTTAGATACATGTTGTCAAATGCCAATGCTATAGCGGTGGACACACTAGCTGAATACTTCTGCCGATTCGTTAGACTGAATCAATCAGGGCCGAAATTCGCCCAAGTGTTTCCACTGTCATTTGGCTGAATGATTCGCCTGAATCAAACATGTTTGATATATTCGCCTTGTGTGTCCGCTTCGGCGAAGCATTCGCCCGAATGTAGAATTTATTAGCCAATCACCACCCACTCATATCGGGAAGTCAAATGATTGTTTAAAGACATCTGGTCCCCACCATGTTTCATTGTGTTGTGTTAAAGGTGATGCCATCGTGACTGATGAATCTGGCGAAGCAATCGCCTGGTGTGTCCACCCATTCCGCCGAATAGATTTTGCGCCGATTAATTCGGCTGACCCAATCAGCGTCGAAATTTGCCGAGTATTGTGTCCACTGTCATTCGGCTAAATGATTCGCCCGAAACAAACATGTTTGATTCATTCGGCCAAATAATATTAGCCTATATCCCAAACTTTGGTTGCCTGTCTACAGCTAGCTCTGCCTGACAACAGGCCCTAACCTATTAACCAACATTTTAATTCCTACATCGACGATTTGAGTCGAAAACACTGAGTATACTTTTAGAAATTTTTAGAAGTATTTATTTTTCTTCTATTGTCATACTGAATGAAATTAAATATGTTTATTTAGCCGTTATGTGTATGAAAGATGGCAAACTAATCAGAGCTGAATCACAATATAGTCCTCTAATTATTCAATATGGTGATGCCCATGAAAGATAATTTCACAGAGGCGGTTTTGTTTGCGAAGGCAAATTTAGGAGTATCTAACCTTGTTTTGAAAGATAAACAGATATTATTGCTGTTGTCATGGACAATTTAACACAAGATATACAACAAATAAAACTTTATAGAAAATAAAATTTACTTCACAAGACTTTATAGAAAATAAAATTTACTTCACATAAATTATACAATAATCCAACAATTATAAATGATTATTATATGGGTATAATTTGGCGAGAAAGACAAAAGATACATTGTAAACATGTACATGTATGTGTAGTTTAATAGTGCAATAGCGCGAGGGCAATATCAATATATTAAGCAATGTCTTGCAAGAGACCATTAAACAACTTAAAATACAGACACTATCCAGCACATGCATATCAAAGAAATATGTCATGCGGGTCCAATATTGCAACTAGTATAAATAATGTATACTTGACACAATATTGCTTGTACCATTATTTGAATTAATGGTAGTCAACATCAAAGGATGATGTCACATCTGTATTTTAAATATCAATAACATACAATTGACTAGATAAGAATGAGATTCATTAATTAACCATATTCAATGATAAGCCTATTGCATATACAAACCTAGTCTAGAACACTACATATAAACCCCATTTCATTTCATTTCTACACTTAAAATAAGATTATTTGACTTCATTAGTTCTAATTCACTACTTTTAGAAATTTAGTCAGATATAAAAACAAAATAGAAATAATTGAAAATAAAAACAAGATATAAGTAAAAGTGATTATAAATAATTAATTATAATAATAATAGTAAACAGAAATAATTATCAAAAAAAACCCAACAAATAAGTAAAACTTATAAAGTACATGTAATTACAAATAATTATAATTTAATCAATTAGTTACTTATGATAAGTTCAAAAGCATGTAACTAAAATCAGTAAATTGTTTGTCAAGAAATCAGGACATAAATAAATGTATGTAATTAATCTGATGTACACAAATTGGTTTTTCATAATTTGTGATCAATAAATTCTATATATTAGGCTTTATAATAAAAGGTTCTGTCATTGGTTATATACATGTAATGTAAAGATTATT